TGTGTTTTGTGCTTCTGTTGTCTTCAGCTGTCAAATGTTGACTCTGTTAAGTCACTTATGATGTTTTCAGTTTCAAAAAAAACCTCTGAGCCTTTTATCAGCCAATATAATAGCAAAAAATAAGCCTATAATTCTATTAAGCCTCACTAGGTTTCTTTTAATGATGAGAAAAACATTAAAAAACAGGATTAACTGAGAAATACATTTCTGTGTCAGGCTGATAGGTGCATAGGACAATGCTAAAGATAGAGAAGGTTCTCTTCTAAGAAAAATAAAAGGGATTTGAAAATCTTCTCTTTGGTTATAGTTCACCTAGGCAGAGAATCCTAAAGAAAAACAAAGGGCTATATGCAGGGAAGACTAAGAAGGAAAGGCAGTTTCCTCAGTAAGCCTTAAAGGCAGAAAATTGCAGAATTTCATGTTGAATTTTCAAGGTGATGAAAAAAATTAACTAAACTGGTACATTAAGAGAAGCAGCTTTTCAAGAAAGCATAAACTCTTTTACTTTATTTTTTTTTTACTCAGGTTTCGTTCTTAATACTTTCCAGAAACCAAAGTCAATACTATTGAGGGTGCCAAAAATACAGCAGTAGTCAACATTACTAGGAACATTAAAAAAGATTAGAGGAACAGTAAAAATGATTAGGCCAAGAGGCACCGGAGACTTGTATGGGCTCTCTCTTTGCTTTCAGCTGGAACACAGGGACAATTTTCAAAGGAGCCTTTCAGAACTTGTGCCCTGTCCACAAGTGAAACTGGTCTTATCACTGGTCCTAACACTGATGTGTTAGGAAAATAGGGAGTGAAGGCAGAACGGGAAATAGTTCTAAGTTACATTAGGACAATAAAAGATAGATACTAAACTAATGCTACAAAACCTCTAAACCCACTGTGTGAAAACATGTAGTGGGCTCAGCTAAATCCCCAGTAGTCTGAGAGACGGGTTAAACGAAACACGAACACAGTGAGATTGAATTTAGCTCTTGTTGTGAGTCACAGCCAGAAGAGATAATTTTTGCAATCCCTTTGGAATGCCAATTTATGGACAGACAGCTGAGCTTGAAAGCCTATGTCTTTTAAGTATCACAAAACTCTTAGTGAAGCCAAACAGCGTGGCGTGCAAAAATATAAGCACACTCTGAAGTATTTTCATGTGAAAAATTGTTTGCACATAGATGTGAGTGCTGATGATGTCCAAGCCAACCTGACTTGCAGCAATGAAATTGCATCTTTCTTAAAAATAAAACCAAGGCATGCTGACAGGGTTTTGAAAACAACTGCAAACTAGGCAATTGGCCTACAGCAGTGTAGTTTCATGATGCATTCTTTATAGGGCAATGATAATAGTGAGACTGCAGAATATAGTATAATGTAAAAAAGTCAGCAGACCGTTCTCAGAAGGCTAGTAAATCCTGTGGCAATATATAGCAGTTATGTTCTATGTGCAGTTGTAACTACTGTATGTCTAGGATATGCATACAAATGTGAACTACATTAGTTCTTCAGCCATGTCTCAGAGATCAGGGAGCACAAAATTAGATCACAGAAATATTTTGGTTTAGATCTCTGGAGCGGTTTGGCTGTGCTGTCAGCCCTGTAAAACCTTTCTCTGTGTCTAAAGCCATCTTCATCTGTTATTGGCAAAAATATTTACAGAGAAGTAGGGGAAGGTGCAAACTATTTTCTCACCATTTCGGCACTGCTCAGCTTCACAAAAGCGGATCCCATCAGGAACGTATATAAACGAGTGGACGTGGGGAACGCCATTCTGCAATTTAGAGGAGACATATAGGTAAGAGTGCAGCAAATAACATCATCACCTGAAAACAGGAACTAAAAGAGTGACAAATGGCTCCAGCACAAACAAACTGAATGTAGTATTTCAGATACCTCGTGCAGACGTTGCCACGGTACTTCTTGAACATAGGTTTTGACGTACGCCACTTGGCAAAATGTGGTCATGAAGTGTTTGCAGATATCTATGGCAAATTGTTCCAGAGTTGAGATCTAAGACACAAACAGTATTATTAGAAAGAAGCAATTACCTTGTGTACAAAAGTAGATTGTTCTAATTGTTGTAAGTATTTGGGAAGGATCAATGTTTTTAAAAACGCAGATTTCTCTCAACTCTGGTTTTGCGCACTGTGCCGTCATTTGATCAGCTTGCAGCGTACGCTGCAAATAGCAGCTACAGAGTCACGTCAAACATCTCCCACTCTGTGGTATAGCGAGCTGCAGTCCTTGAACTGAGAGAAACTGCTACAGAAGCCTTATGGTTTGAGGACATAATGCTGAAATAATCATGGTGGTATTCTGATTAAGCTTTACAGGCTAAAGACGGGATTTCATTACCGAGACTGAGAATTTGCCCTACAGATTGTCATTATGATAGATGCAACTGAAGGAGGTAAGAGCACAGTTAACAGAGTTAAGAGGAGTCTCACATACTTTGAGACCTTCTGTTTAAAAGTGCTACATAGGAATAATACAGTATTATGTGCTATTAAATTAAAAAAGAATGGATCTTATAAGATAAATCTACTACAAATACTGCTAGCTCTGTGAGAAACAAAAGCTTTGGAAAACTAACGAGGAGTCTGCAGGATAAGCACTAGAGGAGAAAAAATTCCCAGCTCACTGAAGGTGACTTTAGTGCTCATCTGACATGCTGATGGAGGGAGGGATTCTTTTGATGCGTTTTGAAAAAAAAAGTATAACAAACACTTCCAAATGAAGTCATAAGAAACAGCAAGGCTAGTTAAAAATACCCCATTTTTTTTGGCCAACACAAGGACAATATTCTTTATGGTGTCTGTAGGTATCACAAGAGAGTTGTTTCCGTCCAGGTACTCTTGAGCAGAATTCAGCCGGAGATGTGTGCACACTTCCACCTCTTTAACAATGTGCTTCTTCCCTTCTCTATGAAGGCGAAGGAACTTAATTGTGTTCTTGCCATATTCGCAGTTGAGGACTTCTACATCCTTGATCTGCAGAGAAAATATGTGACAGTTGTATAGGAACTCAGTGGAAGCCTGAGTTATGCTCAGTCAATGAAACATAGACAGTGTTTATAGCCTTTATTTCTGTGGTTACCTGTGATGAAACTATTTCCATTACCAATTGCAAAGTCTTGATAGGAAGAAAAAATGCTTCAGGAAAATATTACTACATTAGCAGCAGCTATGATAGAATTTTAAAATTTTATGGAGGGCAGGTCATTTAACATGAGTAACAGTGAACTAGCGTCTCGTTTGTCATCTTTGGATTAGTCCTGGCTATACAAACCTTCACTGAGCCTCCCCCCTATCACCTCTTTCTGAACCCAGCGTGTCCCAGTGCATCCAGTCGCTGCAGGTACAGCCGTGCAGAGGGCAGGCAGCACTCCCACCCAGCTCTCACAACCGCTGCTAGGCTCCACATGTGCAGTGCGCTGAGCCCTCTCTGTTTTCACGCAGAAGCTGGCAAATGTGGCCAGCACCCTGTGTGGCAGAGGCCCCCGCGAGCAGGCAGAGCCCCGCGAGCACTCCCCGTCCCCCCGACCACCTCCCGCCACCCACGCAGGGCACGGGGACTTGCTGCTCCGAGGCCGAGTGGGAGCGGTGGGTATCAAAGCAATTCTTCCATGAGGGACAGGAAGGCTGCTTTGTAAGCAGGCAGAAGTCCCAAAGAGAAAATGGAATCTGCCGTCATGTTCTCAGCCCACTGTGTGGTTTTTTACCCCCTCCATGCACGCTGCAATTCCCGAGAGCAAGAAGAAAGGACAGACCGAGCTGGGCTGGTTGGAAGTGTTTCCTCACAACGGTGTGACAGTTCTGATCTCACACAAAAGGGATCAGAAGGGAGTTTGAACAGCAAAATTCAGGTTATGTTCCACATCTCCAAAATCCTGGCTTTCTGGGATCGTTGGTTGTGTTTGCGCTAAGCCCGATTCCATTTTATACTGCTCCTGCCAAACACCCCCCCTTTACACATCACCTATTACAGTGTTGGAGAGGCTGCGCTAGAAAGGAGGCAAAATATTGCAGAGGTTGTGAGGATTTCTGTTCTGCTAAAATCTCCAGAGCTTATTGCACTAGACTTTCCCTGAGGCTGAAATCTCCCGTACTTGGTATCAACACCTTTTAATGTAAATCAGCACCTTTTAATGTAAGCATGGTGCAGAGGGAGAAAGAATATCTCACACACCAAAACATAAATGAAAGCTTTTTATGCGTGAGTTGCAGAAAACATTATCAGATGTAAAATTGCTCAATTCAGACATGTTTGTTCCCAAGAGAAATGCTAATGCACTTAAAAGATGATTTAAAAAAAATGCTAACTAATTGTAAGTAAATGACTGTGGCTCAGAGATCAGAGCGTTTCCCTGCCTGCCGGTCCCTGGAGGCTCAGTCCCCGCAGCCCAAGGAAGGCCCCCACCGCCGGAGCCAGGACGGGCAGGGCTCCGCGCTCTGCCAGAAACCCCCTTCGCAGGAGCGGTGCAAAGGCTGCGCTTGCTGCAAGGGCTGGAAGGAGAAGTTGTGAGATGGAAATGATTGTGTTTTGCTGGTGTGAACACCGAATTTTTTTCAGATAGTTGTAATAAACTCATACTTCAGTCATGCATCACTAAAAAGAAAACAAAAAGGGCTTTGGTATCTGCAGCTTTTTTTTTTAAAAAAAAACAGAATACCTTGACTATTTTAAATAGTCAAAATACTACCTCCTAAAGTATGAAAGAAAGTTTTCTCAAAAAAATTACTTAACAACAGTCATTTTGCCATTTTGCCATTTTGTTGCCCAAAGGAACCCTGAGCAGTTCCCAGTGGCTCCAGGGAGCCCTGGCCCCCCTGCCAGCACCATCCCTGCAGCAGAAGCCCAACTTCCCGGGCTGGCTCTGCCATCCCGGGCCACCGCCTGGGCTGTGCTCACTGCATCGCACCGCAGGAGCTGACAGTCCACACAACACCACTTCTCCTTTCAGAGCCTACTCGGCGCGCGCCCTGTGCAGCCAAGAAACCAAAATGCCTGCAGGATCTGCACGGTGTCACCCTGCGTTGCTATTGCTTCTCTCCTCGGCACCGCTGTGGGCAGCTGAGATTTCCTGCAGGAATGAAGACGGGAAGACAGTCGATTGGTAAGTACATACCGTGCAGTGGAGAAACGCTGGGTGAGTAAACAACGCTTGAGATTAAACCGCGTGAAGTAGGTGGATCACTCGGAAGTAACGCGTGGCAATCACTGTTTTAATTCTGTCTGCCTGTGAGTCGTAGCTGAATGTGGCGTTTGGAAAACCCAGGATAAGTTATTGACATGTGATTTCATTTCACTGAACCAACCACCCTACTGCATTATGACTAAGCGCAAAAATAATCACCGGTTTACACAGTGTTCATGTCTCATGATCAAAGGGAGCGTAACCTGTGTTTGGGTGCCAAGGCTGCACTCACCGGCGGCAGTGCTGGGGCTGCCCGGCCCGGGCCAGGGCTCCAGCGTGCGGCTGAGGGAACCGAGCCAAGTGGGGAGAGCATCCCTATCTCACCCTTGGCCTCATTGCTTGTACCCAAACAGCAGTGGTGGGCCTCGTCCCCTTGCTGCCATCGCTGAGGGGAAGTGGATGCTGAGCTGGCCCCAGGAGGGAGCGGGAGAGGTGCGGAAAGCGCTGTCTGCCCTTCTGACAGCAGGGCAGAGGTCGTTCCCCAGCGCGCGGGCTGCGGCGCGTTGGAGCTGGTACCGTCCTGCTGCCCGCAGCGAGCCCGGGTTGGGCATCAAATGGTTAATTGGGTTAATGTGCTTTGAAGATGGAAGATGCAAAGTGTAATGACATGATATCCAACCCAGGTTTAACAAGTGAAACGAGGACTCTTAAAAAAGAGCACGGAAACCTCTCAGAGATAAATATGAAGAGACTTTAAAAGAAAAGTATCTTTCTCGCCAAACAAGTGAAAAGAAGTAGGTGCTATTCTTGCGCGTGCCTTCCCTTGCACCCAGAGCTCACTGGAGGGATGGCATGGGCTCTTCACAGCGCAGGCAGGCTACCCAGGCAGCGGCAGAAACCCGGCTTCGCTCTCTATTGGCGTAACATCAAACGTACGAGGGTCTGATCCCTCCCTGGGACTTGTCACCCTTGCTAAGGCTATTCTGGATGATGTGAGATTTTCAGGAATCAGACTCTCAGTTGGTGTAGCTACCCAACAACTTAAAGGCACAAGAAATTTAATTTCTCTGCAGACTGCAATTACTCCTTGTCGAATGAGCCTGTGTGTGCTGAAGCTAAAAAAATAAAAAGCAAACCACAAACAAACAAAACAAAACAAAAGAGCAAGTGAAAACAAACATTTCTTAAATGAACACAATTTTTGTATCCAAATTCTTCAAGAAGTTCTTTGAGAGCTGTGACTAGGAGTAATTCACCTGTGCCGCCATGCCTGTGAACACCAGCGACGCGGGACCCCTTCCAGATGGGAGCGAGGGGGTCTGCACAGGTAAAGCCGTGTTCTTTTCTGCCAAGCTTAGCAGGCAGGACAAGAGGGATTTCCTTCCAATTTGCCATAATCAAATGAAAGAGAAACCTGCCTATCTGCAGGGGTCATCCTAGTTTATTGACAAGAAATAGTCAACTTTTGCCTGATTCTGGATTTGGTTGCTATGAAGCTGATAGGAGAAGCAGAACTGAAACTGCTGAGAAATGCTTCCTCTTAACCGAAAGACGTCAAGGCCCTTTCAAACACAGCACTGCAGGTTTCAGATTCAGTTAGCAAGAGCTTTATGTGAGTTCCTACTATTCAGTGGTTTCATCCTGCACTATTCCATAATTACCCAGTATTGATGCACCCTTTCATTTGCCACTAAGCTGGGGGAATGGCTTGCCTTGCCCCCCCCCCTGC